TTGTCTCAACTCTTTACCTTAGCAAACCAAGACCTCTGGGCTTAATGAAAAGAGAATGGAATTTAGAGTTAGAGACTCCTAGATTTCTAGTTCTAGTTCCAACTATGTGACTTTGGGCAAGTAATTTAATCTCTCTGAGTTGTACTCTGTAAAAGATAATAAAATAAATCCTTTGCAAAAGAAGATAATAAGGAATGTGTTGATTTCTCTTTGTGTGTAGAAGGTGTAGTTTCTGGTGAGAATTAAAGAGGCATTTCATGTTCAGTACTGAAAACATTATCTTCCATATCCTTGTTATTTAGTATGTTAGCTGTTATTATAACCCTTATGGTAATCTGCAAGCAGAAGTATTGTCATATCCACTGCATAAATGTAGACACTGTATTGGGATACAGAGAAGGTATAACTTAATGTAAGACACAAAGTAAGTGACAGAACCAGGATTCAAATCTATGCCTTTATCTCCAAATTTTTATGTTTATCATATTGCCTTGATAAAGAGAAGTGAGAAACAAGTGGAAATATTAAAGGGAAAACATACTTCTAAAAAAATTACTTTTCTTCTTATGCCCATACTAAAATTTCCCTTCTTGGCTTAGGTTTATAATTCTCTAAATGTCTCATGTGGGTATATATCAATTGCTATGCATTTTGGGTTTCTGATATAACTGTGTCTCTAGATTCGTAAAGAGATATCTAAACAATTTCACATCTTTAGAATTTTCTTGAGACCTATTAAAAATAAATTCTCATTCCCAAGGCTTGAGAATTTCCCAGTTCACATCTCTTGTAGAGGCAATAGTGGTTTTGTTTCTGATGATACCTGGAAGAATCTGCTAATAATAACCAGCACCACTAGATTTTTTTCCATGACACTATCATTTTGATCTTTTGTTCCATTGGTGCCTACTTACTGAAGGTGGCGTTTTTAGAATGGCATTGAACACACATTAGTTCCTATTTATCTGTGTTTCAAGTTACAGTCAACCACAGCCTAGAAATTCTAGAAATATACAGCTCATTAACTTTTAAATTGTGTGCTTTTCTGAGTAACATAATGAAATATTGCTGTCTCCCAATCCATCTTGCCCAAAATGTGAATTACTCATTTGTCCATCATTTCTACATTGTATATGCTACCCACCCATCAGTCATTTAGTAGCCATTTTGGTTATCAGATTGACTGTTGAGATGTGTCAGTGTATGAATTTTACCTAATGGTGCCGCCAGCAACTGCAATACACTAAAGAGAAGCTGTGTTTTCTTTAAGTATCACCTCAGGATCACAAGAAGAAGGAGTTTGGTATAATACATATTTTGAGAGAGGGTGACTATTGTTAAATTGGGTCTATTTTATTACAGTTAGTGTCTCAACTGCATCTAGTTTATAAATTAAACTTTATCATATGTATAGACATATTGAGTATCCCTGATCCAAAATGCTTAGGACCAAAAGATTTTTGGATTTGGGGTATATTTTTTTAATATCTGCACATACATAATGAGATATCTTTGGGATAGAATTTTAACTGTAGCCCTTCATATGAGGTCATGTGTGGAATTTTCCACTTGTAACAGCATACTGATGCTCAAAAAGTTTCAGATTTTAGAGCATTTTGAATTTGAGATGCTCAGCCTGTAGGAAAAGCATTATAGATAGTGTTTGGTATTATTTGTAGTTTTAAACATCCATTAGGGATCTTTGTATAGGTCTGTTGTTACTGGGCTTTGAGGTGCTGTAATCTCCTTTTAGAGGTGATTTCTTTCAGTCCTAAACAAAGAAATGAATGAAACAAGTATAAACGGTGGCAGAGTTTCACATTTATTAAAGGTAGGGAGGAAAATGGAGGGGTAGGGAAAAAATAAGCTCTGCAGAGTGAGCTTGGGAAAAAGGAGGAAAATAAAAATATACCCTGCAGTGTAGGGTGGGCTACCATGAGGGCACACGATAGTGAGTGCTTCACGGTGACTGTCCCTTTTTATATTTTCCATGCCCGTCCCACATCCAGGTCATACTATCAAAAACCTCTGGCGGGGCCAGGGATTTAGCTCAGTGGTTCCTCCACCTGCCTCGCAAGTGCGGGGTCCTGAGTTCGATCCCTGGTACCAAAACAGAAAACAAAACAACAAAAAAACCTCAGGCAGGAAGTCCACACAGGTGCAGGGCTCTGAGAATTGTTCTATGCATGTGTCCCAGGACCTTGTCACACACGTCTCCTTTCCCAGCTAGTTTCAGCCACATCCTATCTTCCTGCCTCAGCTCCCCTATGGGTGAGGAAGAACTACTATTCTTATTGTGCCTTTCAGAGTAATAATCTGTTTTACATAACAGCTTCCCCTTTCTTTGTCCCTGAAGATCCAGAAGTTGAATAAGTAAAGTCATTTATTCCTTCCTAGTCAAGTATCTTGTGGCATCAATGAAACCATAGATGGCTAGAGCAAATTTCAACAACAATCTCATAAAGGAGTAAGTCCTTCTTAATAGGGATGATATTTCCACCCATTGGGTCCTAGAGACAAAAATATCTAGCAAACAAGATTTATGTAATTCTTTTCTCTGAGAAGAATAGTTGTACAGTGGGTGCATGTGGACAGAATTTTTAAAAACATTGAACCAAGCAAAAACAGTTTCTTTAAAGATACAGGGTATAAAATAGTGAAGTCTTTTGAGCAGCATTAGTGTCCAGATACTCTGCTTTGGATAAAAAGAAATGAATTATTTTCTTAATTGTATAAGTTGATGCTTTTAACTTCCTTAAAATATAAGCAGTGGAGCTTAGTGAACTGTCTTGTTAGATGACTGAATTCTCCATTATTTATAAGAAAATACTGAACATCATAATTAGTCTGAAGCTTGATTGTAAACTCAGTCCATCTGTGAACCTTTTAATGTTCTAGTTCTTATTTGTATCTCCATTAAGTAATTGAAGGGAGAAAAAGCACTTAAGCCCAGTAATTTCAAGTAACTGTTAAAAGAGGCTAAAGGATGCCTCTTTGTAACATTTCAGATTTGTAGAGTATAAGGGGCCTCAACCATGTTTAGCAGCCAACTCATTTTACAGATCGGAAAGTTGAGGCACAGATTAATTCGTCTGAGGTCATACAGGCAGCCATAATGGTGATTGAAGTCCTTTATGTCTGACCACTAGTCCAGTTCTCTTTCCACTATTCTTTTTCATAATTTTATCCATTTGAATTGAGACGTTTAGCATTTTTACTGTTTTTTTAAATTGTAAATAATACATAGCATAAAATAATACAATTGTTTAAAAGTCCCTTTGAGTAGATGAATAACACACAAACATGGAACATAAAAGGTTCATGTAATGTGGAGTCCTAACTCCTCCTGTCCCTCTGAGTTCCCTCCTCAAAGACAGCTGCTGTAAAGGAGGAGGCTAAAATTTTAAGAGTACTGTTTTGCTTTAATAACATGTACAAATTGACATTGTACTGCATTATTTTTTATGAGTTGCAGCCTGGCCCGCCAAGCTTAGGGAATGCTCACCCAAGGAAAAACATAAGCCTTTGAATTTAAGTTTGAAAATTACGCAAAGCCCGAGTTAGATGCAGTAATAGAAAGGGGAATTGTCTTACAGCAGTGGTTTATTACGGGATGCTGCCTTTTGTACAGTTAGCCTAAAGTGTAAGAGTGCTCATGTATCCTCCTGACAAGTAAAATCCCCAAGTCTTGCACAACCGCATGCAACTTTTAAAATCAGCAGCACATTGGCCAAAAGAAAGGGCTATGTTGATGTTTGAATAAACATCCTCCTGCTCGAAACAGTGTGGGACACAGGGAGCCTTGGAACTCTTGTGTCCTGTCCTTGCTTTGGTCACACTCAGGCCTTTGGGTAAGGAGGTGACGGGGCCGTGGAGTCCCTGTGAGAGAGGGGAGAGACCTGAGTGGGGCTTGAGGGATCCAGAGAGACAGAGATGGGAGTGGGCTCCGGAAGGGCAAGGTGGGGAAAGTTGTGTTTTTAAGAGAGGAGGTCTTTGGCATCTCTGCTGTTAGACTCCTGGGAGGGCTTTCATGTTCTGCTCTAAGGCAGGGTTTTTTAAACTTTCTGATCCTGAGTCTTCTCTGGAATATTTGCTAAATAGTGAGATTTCTTGGCCTGTGTCCTAAGATGGTAATTCAGGGAGTCTCAGGTAGAATTCTTGAATCCTGGGGTTGTTTGATTCTGTGCATTCTGCTCTAGACTTGTCCTCCATTGAGATGCAGACATGATCCCTAGGGAGCTTAATTGCAGGTGGCTCATTCATCTCAAGTCAGCTTTATTTCAGAATGTGTGTGTGTTCTTTTGGGAGGTGAGTTTTACATTTTTGTGTTATTTTAAAAACTGGAATATTTGTTTATAGTGACTTAAAACATAAGTTCTGCTAATCTTTGCAAATGAAAACATTGAGTGACATTTTTGTATATTGTAATGACACTATCTTTATTGTTGACCTAGACTAATAAATACTCTGGTTTTAAAAAATGTATGCAGAATATGCGGGTCAGGCAGCTTTGTATCACTGTGACAAAATACCCAAGATGACCTACTTATGAGGAGGAAGGGTTTGCTTAGGCTCATGATTTCAGAGGTTTCTGTCCATGGCATCTTGAGCCTGAGGTGAGGCAGCCTGTGGTGGCGGGAACGTACATGGAGGAGGCTTATTCACCTCGTGGTGGCCAGAAGCCCAGGGGGGTTGGGGGCTGTGATCTCAGTCTCCCCTCAAGGGTACCCCAGTGACCTAGCTTTCTCTTATGAGCCCCGACTTCTAATGGTTCCCCTTCTGCCAGTTGTGCCACTGTCTGGAGACCAAGCCTTTAACACTGGGGGCTTTAGGGAATGTTTTAGGTCCTAGCTGTAATAGTATGGTAATTGATATTAACCATATTTTTTGGCTAGAACTTTGATAATGAGGATATACCCTTCCTTCCATCATCATCACGGCCATTTTAACAATTTAGAATGTAAATGAAGATTCTTGGTGATTGTGTCTTTTCTTTTCAGATAGGAACCAAGGCTTCAGCCTTCTCAATTCATTGGCCGGGACAAACCACAGCCTTGGAACAACAGAGACCCATCACTCAGAGGTAAAGACTTTTCTCGGATCTTTTCTCCTCTTTGACCTTAATTTCTCCTTTTCATTAAGACTCTATACACATTCATCATCTTTTCCTTTCCATTTAAGAGGAGGCAGAGAATATTACCGATAGACGACAGTCTCTCATAGCCCTGTTGTGCCAGATGCCTGCTGGAGGTGGCTCATTCAGCCCCTGTGACAGCAGTCAGCCCTTCTGAGAGGTTTGCAGCTTGGGCTGCTCTGTGTTTTCTCCTAGATTGTATTTTTTAGCCCTCAGTGAGCAGATAGTCCAGTCTCAGTGCTCTGTTCTCAAAGACTCTGGCCAGCACCCTGAAAGCAAGTGCTGTGTTGTCTCTCCATGGATCTTCCTCATCAGCCTCTAAGCAGTTTGTGTTTTGATTATGTATATTTTCACATTTTGAATATAACATGGGTCTTTTAAAATAATTTTTAAAATATGTTTTCATTAGTGCCTAGTAATTTTATAAATCCTGGGTTTCAGTGTGGTATTTCCATACATGCATACACATATATTTGCATCATATCCATTTCCCCCATTACCTTTCCTTTTGTTTTTTATGGCTGAATAATACCCCATTGTGTATACTTTCCATATTTCCTTTATCCATTCATTTGTTGCTGGGCACCTAGGCTGGTTCCATATCTCAGCTATTGAGAATTGTGCTGCAGGATGTTGTGCTAACTTTCATTCCTTTGAGTATATACCAGAGAGTATTACGGCCGGGTCATATGGTAGCTCTACTTTTAGCTTTTTGAAGAACCTCCATACTGATTTCCACAATAGCTGTACTAATTTACATTCCTACCACCAGTGCAGAGGGTTCTTCCCTACCCACTTCCTTCCTTGCCAGTGTTTGTTATTTTAGTATTAACAATAGCCATGTATGGTGGCACACGCCTGTAATCCAAGCACTTGGGAGACTGAGGCAGGAGGATTGCTGCATGTTCAAGACCAGCCTGGGCTACATAGTGAGTTCAAGGCCAGCCTGAACTATATAATGAGACCCTGTCTCAAAAAAAGCCTTTTTGATGGGGCCATGATAGAATCTCAATGTTGTTTTGATTTGCATTTCCCTAATGGATGAAGATATTGAATATTTTTTTTCACATACTCATTGGCATTTGTACTTATTCTTTTGAGAAATCTGTTCTGTTCATTTGCCCATTTATGGATTGGAGCTTTTTTCTTTTTTTTTAGTGGTAAGGTTTTGAGTTCCTTGCATATTCTAGATATTAGTCTAATCCTTTGTTGGAAGAGTAGCTGGCAGAAACATTCTCCCATTCTATAGGCTGTCTCTTCACTCTGTAGGTTTTCTTTGCTGTGTAGAACCTTTTAATTTGATATAGTCCCATTTGTTAATTCTTACTATTATTTCCTATGCTGTTGGAGTCTTATTCAGGAAATCGTTTTTTGGGGGCGGGGGGGCGAAGGCGCTACCTATCAAGTGTTTCCCCTGTGTTGTTTTCTAGTAGTTTCAAAATTTCTGGTCTTTGATCCATTTTGAATTGATTTTTGTATGGGTGAGAGATTTTGATTTTGATTTTGATTTTGTACAGGGATCTAGATTCAGTCTTCTACATAGACACTAGTTTTACCAGCACCAATTTTTTTTTTTTTTGGTACTGGGGATCGAACTAGGGACCTTGTGCTTGCAAGGCAGGTGGCAGAACCACTGAGCTAAACCCCTGGCCCCAGCACCATTTTTTAAAAAAAAACAGGCTGTCTTTTCTTCAACATCTATTTTTGGTCCTTTTGTCAGGAATCAGATGGCTATAGTTGAGTGGGTTTGTTTCCATCCTTCTATCCCATTGATCTGTGTGTCTGTTTTTGTGCCAGTACCATGCTGTTTTTTGTTAAAATGGCTTTGTAGTATAATTTGAAATCAGGTATTGTGGGGCCTCCAGCCTTGTTCTTTTTGCTTAGGATTTCTTTGGCTATTCTTTTGTGTTTCCATGTGAATTTTAGGATTTCTTTTTCTAGTTCAGTAAAGCATATCATTGGAATTTTGATAAAAATTGCATTGAATTCTTAGATACCCTATATTTCCATTTTAACAAAATTAATTCTGCCAATCCATGAACATGGGAGGTCTTTCCATCTTCTAATATCTAACTCCGTTTCTTTCTTTGAAACTTGTAATTTTTTATTGTAGAGCTCTTTCACCTCCTTGGTTAGTTAGGTTGATTCCTAGGTGTTCATTTTTTGAAGCTGTTGAGAATGAAATTATTTTCCTGGCTTCTTTCTCAGCTAATTAATAATTGGTTTATAGAAAAGCTATTGATTTTTTTAAAGTTGATTTTGCATCCTTTTACTTTGCTGAATTTGTCTTTTAGCTCTAAAAGTCTTTTGGTGGCTCTTTAGGGTCTCCATAGGGTCATATTGTCTGCAATTAAGTGTGATTTGACTTTCCTATTTATGTCCCTTCTACTTCTTTTTCTTGCCCAATTGCTCTGGCTCAGATTTCATCTCCTATACTGAATAGGAGTGGTGAGAGTCGACATCCTCCTCTCATCACAGATTTTGGGGGAAATGCTTTCAGTTCTTCCCGCTGCAGTCTAATGTTGACAACATGCATCTCAAGTGACATAAAAAATGTTAGCCAAGTCAGAACACTTGCTAGTTTTTCCTTGAGGGAAACTGCTCCTGGGTTAGGGAATTTTTAGCCTCTGAAAGAGGAACGGCCTAGCTGGTTTTTCTTTCCTTACTTCTAGCTCTGTTACTGTTTCTCTTACAGCCAGTGAGGGAGTGTGAGAATGTGAGCATTTTGGAGATTTATCTCTGAAACAGTCTATTAAATTGTTGTCTCTGGATATTTTCCTCAAAGCAGCCCCCTTTGCCAGTGGCAGACAGGACAGAATCCCTCCCGGACCATCGGGGTGGCGCATCCACCACAGCAGATGCCCAGGTCAATAGCACTGTGGGTAAGTCCTAGCTCTGCAGAGTTTGCAGTAGATGTGTGGGCAGACATTGAGGGGCCAGCTGACTGTAAACATGGAGAATGGAAGAAAATGAATGATGTGCTGTTGCCCATGATGTCAGAGGAAGGGGGAAGAATAAATGACAAATACATGTGGGCACCATTTCCTCTTTGGTTCTCTTAGCAGGATCTTGATTCAGATCATCTTAGGTGAGATAGGAAGAACCAGGTGTTAAAACGGCTTTGTAGCTCTGCCTTCCAGTTTCTTTTCCCAGTATTTAACAGTAGCCAGAATTAATGGTGACAAGAATGATGCAGTGTTATATTCATAAGCCCTTTCACATCCTTTTAAAGTTTTTTTGTATCCACTTTCTCATTTGGTAATGAAATTTGGCAGGAAAGTTGTCCTATGCAGTTGATATTGACCCCTAGAGAATTTAATAACTTGCTCAAGGACGTCCTGCATCTGGAACCAAGTCTGCTGTCCAGAGGCAGAAAGCCAAGGAGCTTAGAGTTGACAGTAAATGTTCTTCTGTTGGGGGCACAACTGATACTCCTGCTTTATCATCATGCTGCTGAGCACTCACATGCTGTAACAGCTTTTTAAAGTTGTTTTTTGATTTTAAGATAAGCCATATAGAAAACTCAAGGGATTGGTCATAGAAATATATTAAGAGAAAATTAGATATAATCCTTTTCTTCTCTTTGGTTTGTTCAACTTTCTCCTTTCAATTGAATCTTTCCTATTGGCCTTTAAACCTAAGTTTCTGCCTACACTGTTCTCTTGCTCGGTGGCTACTCTGTGTGACAGGTAAGGCAAGGACAGGCTGATTGGAGCTGGCATTTGTGATCTCTAGTCTTCGAGGCTGATTATTTTTTAGCTCAGTCTTATTTCGGGGAAACGTGATAAAAAAATGTTCTAGATAATGAGATCTAGGCTTTTCATTGTCAGAGAAAGAGGTTATATAAATAGATGAAGAGGAATTCTAGAATGAACCTGCTGGTGTTGGATTGGAATTTAACATATCAGTATGAACTCATGGTTGGAAAAATAAACTTAGAACAATAGGGGAGTAAAGTCAGATATGTATATACATGCGTTAATGTAGATACATGTATTTCCTAGTTCTGCCCACCGCCAGCATCCAAAAGCTACAATATCCCCACAGCAGTGCACACACTGAGCACTCAGATCCTGGCTTCTAAATACCAGGCTCCAGTAAAAGGAACTGGGGTCTGTGAGCAGTGGTTGATGTCATAGCTGGGCCAGGATCATCTTGTGTTGCCAGAAGTAAAGAGGTGCTTAGAAAACAATGCGGGTGTGGAAAAGCCACAGGGACCAGCCCGAGAGATTCCAATGGCTAAGGCTTGAACAATGAGGCAAGCAAAATAAGTTCATATGTGATTAGTATAACTCATAGAATAAATGTGCATGAGTCTGTACTAACGTAAATAAGTGGGAAATGGGCCAGGGATTTAGCTCAGTGGTTCTGGTGCCTGCCTCACAAGCACAAGGTCCCGAGTTCAATCCCCGATACCAATCAATCAGTCAGTCAATCAATGGGAAAGAAAAGAGTCCTCTTCCTTACAGACAAATTCTAGTTCATAAATGCAGAAGGAATGAGGGAAAAATAGAAGATCAACATGGGGCACATACCACAGTAATAGTTTTTGCAGGCAAGCTGAAAATTAGTGGATGAAAGTTTGAATAGGGTTAGGTTATTTGCATAGTCTGGAAATTTGTCCTCTAAAGTAATTAATTATTGATTACAAAGGAGAACATAGGAACCATACTCTGGAGAAACCTGAAAGATCCAGCCACTTTATTACCAGTAATGAGTCATGCTGATATCAGATCCCCCAACAGGAGGCCCCAGGAAAGCACAGCACCTCTGCTGTGGTCTTGCTCAAGATGTCATAAGAAGAGCACATCAGGCCAGACTGAAGGACATCATGCAGAATAACAGCAGTACTTCCCAGGAAAGACAAAGACTGAGGGACACACAGGGGAAGAATAAAGAGCTAGGACAGCCAAATTCTGAACAGGATCCTGGGACAGAGAAAGGATCCTAATGGAAAAAGTGAAGAAATAGGAATAAAGCCTGTGGGTTAGTTAATAGAGTGGAGTCAATATTAACTGTTTTTCAATACTTGTAACAGTATAAAATGTTAACACAGGGTACGGTGGTTGCAAGACCTAAGGATTCTGTACTATTTTGGCAACTCTTTGTGAGATGAAAATAATTTCAGAATTGGCCCAGAAATGTTGGAAGGCACCACAGCAGTGCAGGTGCTGTGACAGCTCGGAGCAGTATCGAAAGAGGCGGCGGAGGGTGGGGGTGGGATGGGGGTGCTCTAAAGCTGCTGGGCCCAAGGAGTGGAAAGTGAGTGGAGTCTGAAAACAAACTTCAATAAAGAAGAATGTGCTGAGTTACAGTGAATAAGGGATCTGTAGTAAGAAAATATCAATTTAAATCGGCTCTGCCTATAAATAGCTAGCTATAATTTATGTGAGTTCATTTTAAAGTTTTCATCTGTAAGCTGTGGATAATGATGTCTGGCCTTATCAGCCTACATGGTCGCTGTCAGTAGTAGATGTGACAATATCTGTTGTGCTGTAAAGTGTGGCATCACTTTTGGTCACTGTTGTGAATCAGTGTACCTAGCAGAGCACGTGTGGCATTCAGAAGTGGAATCACCTAGATCTGGGTTCATTTAGTAGCTGTGACCTAAGCAAGTCACTCCAGCCCGGACCCCTGCTACTCCTTTCCTCACAGTGCTATAGGGTTACATTCGGTTTCTATGCATTGGCGGGGATGAGAGCAGCCAAGTGGATGAGGCATGGTGAACTGTAGGGTGGGGTGTGCTGGGCACGCAGTCCCTGGCCACGATCATTGAAGCCAGCATTGCCACCTTAGGAGTCTGGGTACTTGGCCCAGGCATAACTAATGTGTTACAAATCCCGATTTCAGATCCCATGTTAGACCTGGATATTCAAGAATTAGCCAGCCTTACCACTGGAGGAGGCGATTTGGAAAATTTTGAAAGACTATTTTCAAAGCTAAAGGAAATGAAAGGTAATGGACTCCGTTGTTTCTGACATAGTCCCATATTAATGCTCATCTATTTTATGCAGTAGGATTTTATTTTGTAAGTGCTCTATTGGATTTGAGTCTGGTCTTAGCTGTACTGAGAAATTTACCTACTTCAGGGCAAAGGCATCCTCTGTTGAGATAATTTCCTTTCTTCATTCTCTTTCTTCTTGCTTTTCCATATTCTTGTGCCTCTCTTTTTTTCGGTGTGTCTCATTAACATGGCATCTCTCAGGCCCCCACCGATTTACTTATATCATTTCCATCTGGAAAGTTTGGAAGACTTAAACTTCCTAAAAGCAGTGATGACCACACTGTAAACATACATCTCTGAGGGCCAGGGATTTAGCTCAGTGGTTCTGCTGCCTGCCTCGCAAGCGCAAGGACCTGAGTTCCATCCCTGGTACAAAAAAACAAAAACATACATCTCTGAAACCCTCGTCCCACCTTCCCACGTTAGAACATTCATACACTCCAGATTCCCTTATGCTGCCAGACAAGTTTCTTAAGATATATTTTCCCCCTAGACAAGGCTGCGACGCTTCCTCATGAGCAAAGAAAGTTGCACGCAGAAAAGGTGAGAAAATCAGTCAGGTATTTATGGAGTACCTACAAAAGGTCCGGTGTTGTCATATATCACACTTGTGTACTTCTAAAGGGTCTTAGGGTGAGCTTTCATTGGATATTAACTTATAACGAAATATTTGTATAATAGTAATACAGTTAGTTCAGTCAAAATAAGATTCTCATATGTATGTTGAGTGACATGGAACCTTCATTAAGACTTGGGATGTTTGTCTTCCTAGCTTTGGGCCGGAAGACTCTTAGCTGCTTTGTTATAACCAACACAACACATGTTCTTGGCAGGAAACAGATATGGTTGATGGTATTCCATTATATGTATGTATCATAATTTATCCAGTTCCTGTTTGGAGATTTAGGCTAACAGTATGTTTATCTTTTTGCTTCTGTAAATAATGAAGCTATGCATATCCTTACACATCTCTCCATACACAACTCTGGTCATATCTTAGCTTAAATTCCTAGATGTGGAAGTCCTGGGCCAAAGGGTATTTAAGGATTTCAGTTTTGCCAGAGGGCTGGAGGGCAACGTGTAAAAATTTAGATTTCAGTTAGTACAAGGTAGGACTGAAATTCAGCTGTTGCCTAAAACTTGTTGCCTCCTTCTCTCCACAGGTGGCCAAGGCCTTCTGGATGGCAATTGGGGGAGACAGAGATGAAATTGAAGGCCTTTCTTCTGATGAAGAACACTAGATTATTCCTACTAGGTTTGACTGACAAAGATGCTAGTGGTCTCTACCGGAGATACTTCCCTACTCGAGCCAGTTAGATCTTGCTGAGATTCCCACTATTATGTTGGCTACTGGATTTGTTTTTAGGGTCCCCCTTAATGTTAGTTTTCAGTAGGGAGTTCTGGAGTAGTCTTTTTCCTTCAGTGTAAGAAAGTGAGAAGTACAGTGATAATAATGAGAATTTCTCAAATATATATTTTGTTCTAGGAATGGGGTAGGCTGAGTCTCAGAGGTCTAAGTGATTTGCCCAAGTTACAGAAGAGGGAAGCCAAGCAGCCCCTCCCAGCTAGCCTTTGTGTCAAGTTCCCTGCATCCACACTTCATTCCCCAGGCCAGGAGCTTGTGCATGATGAAGGGAATTTCCCTACCCAAAGAGCTTACATCTCTGAGCTCTGTGCTTTTGCTCGGAAGAAAAGAAGTAGCTCCAGATTCAATCTGTGCTGTAGTATGAGAGGCTGGGCAAAGTCGGTGGCCCCTGGGTTTATGTCTAACTTAGCGCTTCTGAGTGTTTCTTTGAAGTGTGGTGTCTGAGCTTGCACTACAAAGAATTGGAAAACCAATGTGTATTTTTAGACTGCAAGAAATAAAGCAAAGGTTTCCTATCTGGTGCGGATTAGAGAAGCCCTCTGCCGGGACGTCATGGGGCATGTGTGAGACTCGAAGGGTTCCGTGTGGGTCACGGAAACAGTGTGCTAGTGACTGGGGTGGTTGTGTCGCCATTATGTGAAGACTCTCTTCTGCCTTATCCTTCTCCCCTGCTGCTTGAGATGCCAGAGCTGTGTTGTCACACTTCAACCCTCAAAACAAGGCAAGTGTCCCCCCTTTGTGTTTGGAAGCCAGACAAATCATTGCCACCGTAGGCACACCAAGCAGGGGTGAAGCAGTAGGCAGTGTGCACCTGAGTGCCATGTTTCTCTCCCAGCATGGAGGGCTCTTCCCTGTGTGCCCTTTCAGGCTATAGCCCAGGGGATAATCCTTTGTCCTTTATCCAGGGCCATGTGGGAGGGGGTCAGCCCCAGAGGAACCAACCATCCAAAGCAGAGTTTCAAAGGAAGACTGGAGTAAAAATCTCAATTTCTTATTGTGGTAGATACTTGAATAGTATCCGTCATCCACCTTCTCTGATCTGTCACCGCTGTGGCTCCAGACTGGCACAGCACTGGATGGTGGTGCTGGCATGCAGGCCGGGTGCTCGTTGTGGCCGAGCATGGCCTCTAGACCTGCTCACATGGCATGGAGGGAACACAGGGTAGGTCACGAGCAAAATCAAGCTTCAAGCCTGCTCTGGTACCACTGTGTAGGCCTTGCAGAGCCCGAGACAGAGCAGTGGATGGAATGTTGCAGGGGCCACCTGAGCCACCAGGGAGGGGAAGCTTGCTGAGTGGAGCCTTCAGGAAGAGGCCCAGGAACAATGGACACTTGCTTGCTCCCTGTGTTTGGGGCGGGGGGGCGGTGTTGGCTTTTTTGAAGTTGTTTGCATCCATGGTTCAGTGCTCTCCCCTCCCATCAGTGGAACTAATACTTCTTTGAGGTGACTGTGCTTCCTTGAGGTGATGTTTCTTGAGGTTGTTACCCCTTGATTAAAAATGGAAGGGAAGTTGGCTTTGAGGTTGACAGAAGGTAGAACACATATTTCTTAAAATGTAGAAATATTTAGAAAATGTATTAGGCCACATTGTTAAAAAAACAGATTAGAAAAGAAACTATGAACTTGATTTTATGGGTTAAGCAAAGCCAGGTAATTAAAATGTGATTTATTTCCAAAGCCTGCTAGTGTGTATTATTACGAGTTTGTTGTTTTTCAGTAGGGGTATGAGTGGGAGAGCCTTACCACCTTCTCTGGATTAGGCACAGGTAGTAAAGAGTCAAAGGGTTTGTCAACCCCATTGTATTGGAGTCCACTATGCCCATGTGTAATGTGTATTCATGCTTTTAAGACCTTAGCTATCTGGGGATATTGGGACCCTTCTGGGGCACATGCAGGATAAAGGTATCTTGCGGTATCTGCTAATGGCTCATGTGTGAAAGAGTGATCTCGAGCTAATAGTGCAGTTAACAGCTGCTGTCTCTAAATTGACCCATGTGCCTGCCACAAGTTACAGACCATGCAGCTGGGATTTAAGAGACAGCTTTTTTCTTAAACATTCTGTCTGAATAACAGTGCTTGGCTCATAGTCGCCCCTTAGCTTTCATTGGAAGGTACGGTTCGTGTTTGGTGAATATGATCACAAAGTTTGAACATCCAAGAGTGCTGAAGTAGGGAGAAACAGGCATAAACCTCCCCCAAGAAAATCATGTGTTATGTAATAATTTTAGAGTGATGAAGACATGGATATTTTTATAATTTTAAAATATGCTGTCCTGCCAGAGTACGAGAAGATTGACAGAACCAGTTTGCTTGCTTTCTATTTATAGACCTGGGCCACATCTGATTGAGGGAAGCTAGAGATCCAGGGACACTAGACTTAGAAGGCTGAGGAATGTAGCGCACAGAGCACATCAGGCCATTCCTGCAGACTGCTTATAACAGGTGAAATGCGATACACGGCTCATTGGTGTTCCCACTGTGGGGAGGCGGGATCGACATTTTTGCCCTAGCTTGTCAGATTCCTTTAACCTTGGGCCCATCCCTTAAAAGTGGCCCTTGAGAGAGCACATGAAGCAGCCCTGGCCTTGCCTTGGCCTGCCAGGTAAAAACAGTCTTAGGAGAGTCTGTCTAAGGGTAAGAGAACAGAACTGTTCAGAGCTGGAGTGTTTGCTGATGAAAGCTAAATTGAGCAAGCATGTGTCTCATGTGGTCAGGTGTTCTGATTCATTGACCATTCTGTTTTGGTGAATAGTTTTGGTAAATGCTCTGATAAGTTAGATTTTCCCTTCACACCCTATACACACACGAATTTACAGTAGACAGTTTAGCTACAGTATTATAGCATCAGATACCAAATCATGTTAGAGGACCATAGGTCGAGAAAGTATAAAATCTGGTCAGTTATACTGAACCCAGTACCACCTTGGTACAAGTTTAATTTGAAAACAGTTCTGTATTTTAACTTTCCCACAATTTGTCTCATAAAGTAAAATGCTGAGTGTATAAAGCAGAGTTAGTTTTTGATTCAGATTCCTTTTGGGGTTTAGTGATTCATCCTTGCAGCTCTGACATGTAAGCTCTTGCAGAAAGGGTCTCAGAAAGTCTCTTAAATTTGGTATTTTGGCATTACCTGTGCATGTTACTAGTGTCACAAATCTTGCCCTTCATGTAGACATCTTTACTTGGGAGTTAGGTTCTAGCGTCAGAAACATCTTACTCGATTCCAAGTTGTTCCTGATTTGCAGAGTGAGGAATGCACAAAAGAGGTAACAACTACAGTGCGGGCCTTTGCTCAGCACTTCTGAGCCCCACTGCAGCTCTTCGGTGATGTACAATTCTATTTTGTTTCATGTTGGGAAAGTATTGACTCAAAACCTGGCTCTAGGGCCGGGGATTTGGCTCAGTGGTTTCGCCGCCTGCTGCGCAAGCGCAAGGACCCAAGTTCGATCCCCAGTACCAAAAAAACCCCCAAAACCTGGCCCTAATGGTTATTACTGCATTTTTGGAACATAGGCTTTGGGGAGAAAACTCTTCTCAAGCCTTTGTGTATGTAGTTCACAGGCACAGGCACAGGCACCACAGGTCACATGAAGCCACTCGCGCTCGGCTTGCTAATGAGGAGGCCTCCCTGCTTCTCTGTGATGAAGGAAGTGGCCAGTCAGTGCCTCTGCCCTTTTTGTTACCTACCAGGTGGTTTTAATGTTGCAAAAATGAGGGCTAAGTAAGGCCTGGGGTCAGTACTTCATAGAAATATCAGTGTAGTTTGGAAGAAAAAAAGATTTTCAATCTGAAGTTCAAAGCTATGGTCTGTGCCAATTGTACTTCTCCAGGGAATTGCCAGGATGTTATTAATAAAGTGAGACGGCCTCAAACTTGTTCCTTCTGTACTGGTGAGAGCCGAAATAAGGATTGGTGTCCAGCCAACTCTTGACTGTGACCTTGTTGGTGTCAGACTCAGAATGAGGCATGGTGGAGGACAGAGACTCGGGTAAGGATGTAGTATCTCTTTTCCAGGAGCTCAGAGTCCATCTTTGGTGGGAGTAGGGGGCAAGCAAGACAAGGTCACAGGGGAGAGAATGCCCCCAGAATGCCAGGCAGAATGAGAAACACTCTGTGACCAGCCTCACTGCTACAGGAAGAGAGCAGGGTGGGGTGGGCAGAGCAGAGGGTGCATCTCAGAGCAGTGCTTCCCAGCCTCAAGCACTGAGAATTAGCTGAAGGCTCAGAGCTTGATTCAGTGGTCTGGGGGGGACCTGAAAGTGTGTGTTCTGACGTACCCGACGGTGCTGCTTGGTCCATACAGGAGAGCCACAGACATGGGAGAAGTGATGCTTGAATTGAGCTAAAAAGATAAAGAACTTGCTCAGGTAAGTAGTGGAAGCACCAAAATTCTTAGTGTAAGTTACAGTGTAGATGGAGAAATGGAAATAAGAAAGCAATGCACTGTTAGGAAAACCCAGGCAGTCCAGGGAGAGAATGATGGTAGGTAAGGTCAGAATGCCATCAGAGAGGACCTTGTAGGGTCTGTCCCAACTCTGGAGGGGCCTAGGGAGCCACAGATTTGTGAGTGGAAATGCTACCCAGCCAGAAGCTGCCCAGTCATCTGGCTGTGTTAAGAGAGATTGAGATTGGGAATGGACCCAGCCCCGTGATTAGAGGTTTTGGTCATGGAGAGACATACAAAGAATGGTAGGTAGTTTTGCCACATGTTTGCTATCCCTGGAATAAGGGAAGACAAATTAGAATTTTGGAAGAGCTATAATACACTTGATCTTAGCCAAAAGGCCAAGAAGTGATGGAAGAGCTGTAATAAAAGGTAATCGGGAACTATATTTTGGAGACATTCCTTCTGTCTCATATATAAGGACTTACAATAGACCAACCCAATGGGAAGGGATGCAAAAGATTTGCTAAGGTTTCAATAGGGCACCAGTTGATTTATTTATTCAGAAAAATATATCATCACCAAAAGAAGCCAAGGGTACAATAAAATGTAAACCTTGCTCCCCGGGAACGCACAGCTTAGAGGAGAAACAGCATGCAGTGGAGGAGCCTGTGCTGATAGACATACCCACGATTGGCTTCCTGGAGATGTTTAAACCAAAGTGCAAAGCACAGTAAACGCCGACAGAACTCTTGGTGTGTGTCAGAGTGGGGAGAGGGAGGTGGAGGCCAGAGAAGAGAGGCTGGTGTTCCAAGCAGAGGGAAGAATGTAAGCAGTCACAGGGACGAGGATGGCAATACAACCATAGTTGCCTGGGTTATAGAGGGCAAGGCAGGGAGTGGTCGGAGCTGGGCAGGGCAAAGGAGGGGACCAGTGTTCTGTGATAACGTCGAGACTTTGTGCTGTGGACTAAAGGTGTCGGGGACACGTTACTGGGGGTGGTGTTACAATTTGGATCTTAAGCGTCTCCTGAAGATCCGTGTGTTAAAAAGGCTTGGTCCCCAGCTCATGGTGGACTCTTTAAGAGATGGGGCCTAGTGGAAGGTGGTCAGGTCCCTGGGGCATGACCGTGAAGGTGTTCTGGGATCCTGGCTCCTGTCCCTCCATCTCTGCCTCCCAGCCACCATGAGGTAAACGGCTCCTCCCACCATGATGCACTGCCACACAGGGCCAAGCAGCGGTGGACTGACACCTCCAAAACTGTGAGTCGGACTTTTCCCTCATTGTCCCAAGTGTTCCGTTACAGTAACAGAAGGCCAGCACCGGCAGTGTGAATCTCAGGAGGGCAGGCCGGAGGCTAGGAGACCAGTTAGGGAGCTGGTGCACCTTGGCTTGTGGGGCAGTGAGAGTGAGGGAGCAGGGCTGATTGGAGGTGGAGAGCAAAGGGACTATGAGACAGTGGCTTCTGAGGGTGTAGGCTGAGGAAATGGTCCTACCAAAAAGTGGGCTGAAGCCCAGAGCACGGGAACATAGTACAGCAAGGAAGACGAAGAACTGTGCCTTTCAAATTAGGAGCTTGAGGTCTGCACACCACAGTGGACTGTAGGGTTCGCCACCACTGTACTTGTGGCACTTGCAGGTAGCCTGGCAGGTAGCCTGGCAGGTAGCCAGCAGGCTGCTAGACATGAATCTGAAGGTCAGGATTGATGTCTGGACTGCGAGTACTGACTCGGGAGTCATTTGTATTTGTGTGGCTTGATATTGTAGGGGTTGATGGGGTCACTTAGGGAGGCAGTGTCAAGAGAGCACATCCAGTGGTATAGAAACACCAGTCCACAAGAGGTGCAGGCCCAAGAAAAAGCAGCCTATGTGAGAGACCTGAGGAGGCTGGGAGGTTTGCTGAGCCAGGCCAGCCCTAGCAAGGGTGATGGGGAGCAAGGAAAATAAAAGATCCATTCTGCTGCTGAGAACCTGAAAAGCAGAAGGGGGAGAGGCACTTGCTAAGAACCAAGAAGGCAGGAAGGAGCTGGCCTGAGAGATGTAGAAGATGGTTCCGTGGCGGGTGTTACGTGCTGGGTCAGGACTAACAGTTTGTTGGAATTTAGAGTGGAGCTCAGCTAGAGGTGCTAATTTGAGTCAGCTATTGAGAGAGATCCACAGAACCTTGGGGAAGGCCTTTTGGAACAATCACAAGGCAGGTATTGGATGCCTTTCCTGGAGGCCTCAGTGCACTTACTGTGGAATGGCCTCCCTCCTGGTAAAGGAGGTGGCTGGAGTCAAGTGAAGTCTCTGGGAGGATGACTCCAGCTGCATCTCCACCGTCGCCACCCCCAAATTCCGCCTTTTCAAACTGTTGAAAGCAAATGGCATTTTACTTTTTTTTTTGTACTGGGAATTGAATTCAGGACATTGTGGTTGCCAGGCAGGTGCAGTGCCACTGAGCTAAATCCCCACCCCATCATTTTACATCTTGATCATCTTAAGCCACGGAAACAATTTTCAAGTCTCTTTCTCATTAGGATTTGGAACTGAAAATGAATTTTCACTAGAGCTGACAGTAAGGAAACCTAATCCCTTGTGAATGTAAAACTATCTGTGCAACGACTAATGTGGAGGGGTTCAGGACATTGGGGTGGCTAGGAGAGGCCTAGCAGAAGCAAGAGGTGGCCTTGCATGGTGTCAGAGGGACTGTCAGGGTGATGCTTGCACGATGACACAGGGCCTCCTGGTGGGATGACAAGAGCATTGGGGCCAGGTGCAGCACTGATGGGAGTACGTGGGGCTTGCAGACTTCTTCACCCAGAGACACCAGCAGAAATCAGACTGAGCTCCTGGCCTAGGAGCTTTTCAATGAAAAGTTTATTAGAAGGGCACTTACAAGAGCAAGAGAAGGGAAGAGATGCCATGAATCTTTTACAAGGGGGTATAATGCTTAAACAGGTGCTCTGCTTTTAAGATACAAAAGTTAGAAAAATCTAAAACACTATAAATACATACATGCTTTTTACAGAGATGAAGAGGCTGGCCGAATAGCGAAGGTAATCGGCCTCTTCCTCCACATTCTCGTCCCCGGCCCCCGAACATTAGAACAAGGGTCTCAGCTGAGGCGCGGCACTCAGGGTGAGTAAAGGCTTCTCCATAATGATGGCTCCATCTCTCTGGGGGTAGTTGCTAGTTTTTACCCCTAGGAAAGGGCCCAGATTTGCCTCAGAGCTGCCTGTTCTGACATGTTGCTGCCTGCCTAGCCAGCCTGGTTCTGTGTTTCTGATGCCAAACCAAAAAAAGCCACTGCACCTTCCACCAACACAGATTTGGCTGTCCCCCACCTCTTCCAGCCACTGTCCTTAGGAGGAGACACCTTTCCAAATGTATTTTTTAAAAAATTAAATAGTTACCTGTCTGAATGGTTTTAAGAAATTATTACATAAATATAAAAACACCAGAATGCTACAGTATACATTACTTCTGCATTAAAAAAAGTCAATGATGGAATCGCTGAGGATTTCTCAATCCAGTTTACATGAATTGCAAGTTTCCTTCCCGTGAAAGGTGTTTCTAAGGGGTGCCTGGGTGTTAAGTTGCCTCCGTACAGACTGACACCTGCCGTCAGGGATGCCGTGCCTCCCTTTGCAATCCAGACCCTGTTGCGAGTGTCTTTCTGCCTTCCACCCACTTGAGAAGGCCCCAGTATTCCCTAAGAGGGGAAGAGAGGCGGTGAAGACTTACGTGAAAGGATGTCAAAGCCACACAGAAAGAGGGTCTGGGGCTAAGCCTGTGTCACCTCCGGCAGCGCCCTTAGTAAACAGCAGTTCTGAGAGCAGCGGCAGGTTCCCTTCCTGGCCCTTCCTCTTAGGACTGAAGGAGACAATCTCACAGAGCCTCAGAAGGCGCAGTGTAGGGCTAAGAATGAAATTTGCTGTTTGCCTTCTCCCCTGAGACTCACGTCCACGCCCAACAAGCACATGCTGCTTGGAGAAAACCCCTCTCTGCGGTTTGGGTAAGAGCATTTAGTCCTGGAATACGTCCAACCTCTAGGGAGCCACAGAGGAGATAGAGAAAAACAAAAACTAAGCACATGATCTGTGCTACAGCTCATTTCAATACATTAACGATTTAAAAAAAACAATCACCATAGTCAGTAAAAAATACGACAACATCAGAACAATGAAAAGTCTGCCAGCAGCCTTGCCCTCATGTGTTCTTCCAAAGAGTCAAAATGTCAGGTCTCCTTGCTGCAGCCCCGCCAGGAAGGTGGCCAGCTGGGGTGACGTGCTGGCACAGGCCCGTAACCCAACCCAGCTGTGTGGCTCTGTGCATGTGCACCACGAGGATCTGCACTACTAAATTAAGTTGGTAAGGAGGGGGGAGTGGAGGACAAGGACCTCTGCCCCAGTTCTAGGGGCGGGTTCAGGGTCAGCACAGGAGATCACGTGGCTTGAGAGAACTGTACTTAAAACTGCTACCCAGTGGCCACCTTTAAAAAAGGTTTTAAATGTTTAAATGCCATTTGTACAATAGGATTTGAAACTAAGAAAACTAGCTTTGTGACTTAGAAAGGACACTAATTACACATGCCTGAAGGACCTCTGTTGTGCTCTGTGACGGGAGTGACACACTGGCCGTATAAGTATGTCTCAGTGATGCCAAAGGTGGGCTTGTTGCAGTTTTCTCATATGTCCTCCTCCGGTGATCTGTAAAGAAAAACACAAAGTCCAATCTTCATGCCTCCTTAGAAGCGACCATCAGATTGCAGCACTGAGAGCTCTGAGACCATCCACATACAGCCAAACCTGAAGCTGGTTTCCAAGCACCTAAAGATGATGATGTGCCCAGGAAGCCTTTAGGAGACCACACAGCAGGTGGAGAACGCAGGCCCTCAGAAACCATGGCTTTTAGGAGGGGCGCTGTGATCGTGCCATACAAGCCAAAATGGAATAATCTTGCCCTGGGTCTCAGGACTGACCAGGAACATAAATGCACATCCCGGAGGATCAGAGGGCTTCCTGTGTTTGCAAGCAGCAGTCCACAGACCACTGAGCCAGGCATAAGCTTCACACCCGCAGTGTTTGGCCTGCAAAGGAAGTGCAGGGTTCTGTATCCTCTCTGGGTTCTGGGTCAGCACCCCTGCAGGAAGATCTGCACAAGTCTGGCAAGGCACTCATTCCTTCTCTGTGTCCTCAGGAGGCTTGGGGTGCAGTCCTCCTACCTGGAAACCTCCAGGCTGCACCCATGGGGCACAGGATCCCGCAGGTGAGGCACCAGCAAGTCCCCCAAGTCTTCATAGAGCATCAGAAGTTTCATCACATTCAAGGTTCAGAACCTGCCAAAAGTTACACTTTCTTCTCTTCACCTGGAATAAGACAGGACTTCCATAGGAAATCCTTTTGTTTTTCCCGGTATAAATCCATGTAAAGATGTGGGATAAGTCATTTCACTAAAAACAAAACAGCAGTGAAGAATAAAGTACCAGTTGCAGGTGTCAATCCTGTCTGCTGTATTCTGCAAAAGGCCAGTAAGAGAGGGCTTTTTTCTTTTTTTCCAGTTGAAATAATTTATACTAGTTTTCTCCCTAATTGCCACTGGGAGCAGTACTTATTACACAGTATCACTGCTGTGGTTGTCACTGATGATCCTCCACAGTGAGCTTGATAATCTTCCTTCCCAGGGTGGAGATGACAGACCATTTTGCACCAAGCCTGTAATTTTCAAAGGTATAAAAAAATTTTAACAGCCCTTTCATATGCCTACATTGGCCTGAAATGTTTCCCTTCTGGTGCATTTGCTGCTATAAATTCCAGCTTCCCAAAGTGCCAGCAGGTGGCTCCTCCACAAAACCGGCAGAGCTTCACCTTGGGGGAGAGGAGAAAGTAAGTAGGTGCTGGGTCTGGCTCAGGATTCCCAGTCAGTGCACCTACCCAGGATTTGTTTTCATATAAAACCTTTGAAAGAACATATGGTAAAGTTGCTTTACTTAATGCAACTGACTACATAGACCCACATAGCCACGTGCATTACAATATGGAGCAAGTACTTCTGGTGCCAGAGCGGCCCCCAGCACAGTGCTGCTCAGCCCTTGTCTCTTGGGAACACTTCATGTCGCTCAAATCTCTTTGAGATCAATACGATAAACTATACACTGCATACACACTGAGCCTCAGTAGATCCTTCCAACTGCTCCAAGTGAAAAAGGACAAAGAGCTTCAAAAGAAGAGACAGCTGCACCACATCCTGCTGACACACTGGTCACACCAATCAGTGTGCTGGGAGAAAGGCGAGTCAGCGGGGCACTCCCCGCCCCCCCAGAGCCTGCTGGGCTCACCCACTCTGCCCACGTGGAGGCTTGAGGCGTCTGTCCAAAATGCCGGAACAGCCTTCCAAGGTGGATTCCACACCCCGGTCCTGGACTGAGGGGCCTTCCTGTTGGACTCAAACATCCCAGGTTGCTGTCCTTTAAAAAGGCTTGGGGAAGGGTAGGCAGTGAAACACTACCGCAGGACCAAGGGCACACGGGTTCAGCAGACACAGCTGGTCATAAAATCCATCTCTAGGTTTGCTTCTGTGTTTCATGAGAATAGGCTGATGTCATCTTAATTGAGGGAGAAAAATTACTTCTTCCTTGACAATGAGCAGGTTGAGTAGAGTTCTGATCTCCCATCTCCTCCCTGGCCGCTGTCCCCGAGCCTGCCTCCCCCTGCACACCCAGGGTCTCTAAGACACACTGGAACAGCGGATGCTGGGGGAGCCCATCTGCGTGAGGACCTTGTCCAGCCATTGCAAAGGCCCATTCAGGTGCAGCTCAATCCAGCAGGGAGTGCTGGTCACTGTCTGTCTCCTGCAAAAACAGGGAAAGGGGTGGAAGGCTTAAATATCTAGAGGGACACTTATCCTAGTCAGATCTCTTGATGTCCGTACTCCTCCCAAAGCCAGGGACACATCCCACCCTGTGAAATGCTGCCCTAAGGTGAGTACCAGTAACTTGCTGAACCACCAGGCCAAACTCCTCCAACCAAGGAGGACTTGGAGGAAATCGGCTTCTTTGCTGGAAAAGGAGGAAGACCTTAATCCTTTCGTGCCTAGTGATCCATTTTTTGGAATGCCCAAAACAACGGAACATGTTTTCAAATTCTGTTCCTTGAATTTTGTTAGGTAACATACATGAATTTCATGCCAGAATTCAAAAAGTTCCAATCTTTGGCATAAGTGGATTGAGTTAAACATGGCGCCCCAGAGGCCTCCCAGTGAAGGAGCTTGTGTCTGGCTCTTTCTGTATCCAGTGGGCACCTGCAGTTCCCCATGCCCTGGCCCCAGCAGTCTACAATGACGCATGTCTGATGGAGCGGGTTCTGTACAAAGTGCCAACAGAGTCCACATGCCTTCAGTTCCCAGTGTGCTGATATAATTCTCATCTACGGCCTTATTTTGGAAAATCTTATGAGTAGAGCTAGCCATGGAACAATTACTGGAAAAAACCAAGACACACCACACGTTTCTTTTCCCCCAAAGCACTTTGTCTAAATTCAGGCTGGCTGATGATGCAGCTGGCCAACGAGCTCCCGAAGGCCCTAGCTGAGCAAAGGCTATCTACGTGGAGGCCAAGGCCAGCTGGACACGAGGGCCCGGGCCCTGCGCTCTGCCTTTGGCCTCTTCAGAGACAGCTGAAACCTTACTCTCTCTGGCCTGGGGCAGGACAAGAAGACTGTTCTGGGAAGGCGCCACACCCGCCTGCTGGCTGCTGTGCCGTGCTGCCAGGCAGCAGTGATGCAGTAGCCCCACAGGACTGGGTGTGCTGGCAGGACGTCCTGCACGGCGACGCAGTGCCCCTTGGAAAAAGGTCCCCTGCCACGGGCCTCTTTCCAGCACTTGGAGCTGGAGAGCCACCCTCTGTGTTGGTCCTGGGTTTCAATGGAGGATGGGCGGTTCAGAGGTGGGCCCCATGGTGTCTGCCCAGCAGAGGATGCCTGAGGCTGGGCTCCTGGACTAGAGTAGAGGAGGAAGAGGAGCAAACGGCTCCCCCAGCTCTCTCCCCTGGGCTCCATCTGCAAATATTTCCCTTTCCCACTAAAACACTAATTTTCTAACCTTTCACTCTCATTCCCTAAGTGACCCAGGCCAGGGCTAAAAGATCAGCTAAAACCTTTCTCCTGCCAGACCAAGGGCCTGGGCTTAATCTCTTCCGATCGTCATAACATGGTCCTAAGTTCTCCAGGGCTCTGACTACATTGACTGCATACTTCCTGGATTTCACAGACTCCAGGGACCAGGGTGCACTGTTCCCTGGCACCATGGGGCACACACAGAAGAACAGGAGCTAAAATACGGTAAATGGAGGAGGAGGATTTTACAGACTGAAATCCTCTAATGAGAATCTGACTTTCCATAAGTCATGCTCATCGGGATTTCATTAGAAACGGTGGCCCCGGGCCAACACTGAAATGGGTTTGGCTGGAGTGCAGAATGACTGCAAAACAAAATAGATTCCAAACATCTGGAAAAGTGAGGAGAAGGGGAGAGTAACTTGCAAGGTGTTGGCTCCCGCTGATGTGTGGGTACCCTCTGCGGCCGCTGCCCAGGAGCTGGGGCAGGGCAGGGGTGTAGACAGCCCCGCCCCAGGAAGTCTCACCTGCCCAGTGTGGACAGCAAAGAACCAGCTTCTCATTACCACTGAGCAGAGCAGGTAGAACTGTGGTCGGGGCCACCTTAAAGGTACTATCCAGAATCCTAAAGTTCTGCACACCTAAACTGTTCCTTTGTGAGCACTCAAATCTCCCTCCTCCCTTGATTCTCATCTTTAATATAGGGTATCAGTGGTGGCAAACCTATGGCACATGTGCCTCAGCAGGCTATTTATCATCTTGGAAAGCTCTAAAAGTTTCACTGTCCCCAAGTCGGAACCACAAGTTGAGGACTCCACTTCCTGGAGAGTGTCACTCTAAAGCCATCTGCCCCAGAGGGAGGAGGGGAAGCAGAACTGGAGGGCACAGTGCTGGGCTGAGCTTTCTCACTGCTGGAGTGTCATCAGGTGAGTCCCTTTCCATCCTAGGCCTTTGTACCCGGTGTCCCCACCCTGGGCTGTATGACGATGAAGTGGGACCTGTGTGTTGATGGTGCTGGGCGCTAGCAGACACCTCTACTCCACGGCGAGACCAGGCACACTCATCTCCAAAGAGCCTTGGCTGCGCTACCGAGTTGCCTGGAGTCGGTTCCCTGGCACTGACCTATACTCGGCTCCCCAGCCTTTGACAAAGCTCATGCGGATGGTACACATGCGCGTCAGCTGATAGACGGCCTCGAAGCCCTGGTTCACAGACTGAGCCAGCAGCGCGGCGAACTCCTGGTTGTTGAAGATCTTCAGGTTACATCCTGCAGACAGAATAAGGACAGTGCTTATGTGGGGACAGAGGTGAGGGCATGGCTCCCCTCCTGGTAAAGCTACCCCACTCACCCCAGCTTAAATCACACAGCTCAGGTGGTGCATGGTCGTTCCATGCATCAGCCAGACTCCGAACTTAGCACCATGCAAGGGGTGGGCCTGCTAGGCCCACCACCTGGTCTGGAAGAGGCTGTCCTACAAGCTCCACCCCTTCAGTCACAGAAACACAGAGAAGGTGGCCTGTGAAGTAGGACACGAGCACCATTGGGAGAGCTGAGCCCGGCCCTAGGCCAGGAGGCCTCAGCAAGGCTCAAAGCACGGAGAGGGCAGGGACCACCTGGGCCCAGGACCCTCAGCAGAGGGCAGGGCACCAAGTCTGCCTCCTGCTGGGCCAGGAAAGGGACAGATCTGGGTCACAGTTTGGCCTCTGGACACAGGCTGGGTCATGGCGACAGTCACAGCAAAGGAAGGTGTGCCTCTAATTCTCCAGACAGGAAAACTAGAGGCAGGCACAAATAAAGTTTAAAATAAACCTCTTGTTTGAAGTTCCACTGTCTGAAAGCCAGGAATGTGTTAATCAGGAAAATAAAGACAAAAGCATCTGCCAGCATAATCGAAAGGTGAGCCGAGGTGATCTTAGGAAGAGACCAACACCAGCTCCTAATCTTGTTGTGTGGCTCTGGGCCGGTCACCTCTCTCTCTGACCTTGTGTCTCTCCTAAAACAAGGGGCTGGCCTGGCCTCCTAGGTCATTCCAGTTCTAACATTGTGTGTGTGAGCTGGCAACCTCCAAACTGATGGGATGGGCCAGGGAAGGGAGCAGGCAGACACAAGGGTGCCTCCACTTCCTTTTCCATGCGTTCCAATGTGCAGTGTAGTGGTGCAGAGCTAAAACCCCCAGAAGAGCACCAGACGCCTCATCAGCCCTGGGCTTCAGCCTGGTGTGGCCAATACTAGCTGTGTGTCCCTGCATGAGTGGCTTAACCTCTCTGACCTTTTTCCCCTGAATCGCCTTACTTGTAGAGGCAGAGTACCTGAAGAAGATGAGATCAAAGATACACATGTACTCTGTTAATGCAACCCTAGAATGCTCCAGAACTGCAGCACAGCACTGCAGATTCTCCGCACTCAAGTTTGCCCTGCTCTTGGCCCAGGTCTCCACTGCTGTCCACTTGGCAAGTGCCATACATGTGCCACGGGCAGAGGCCTGACCCAGGCATATGCTCACCAGCCAGCCACAGCCCATGTGCTCTGTCTGTGTGAGAAGTGGGCTGGGCCCTCTGCCTAGATTTCCGAAGGAAGGACCCTCCTGCTGGAGCTTGCTGTCCAGAACATCTAGGGCACAGCCTGGCACCTCTTTTTGGGTCCTGGGTCCATCAGCCTTGCTCAGAAAACACTCAACAGTTCCCCAGGCCTGGTTTCAGTATGGCTTTAAACATTTCTCCCAACTATCTTCTTGCCTTGTGTCCTCTCCGCCCCCATGGGCTCTCCCCACTGTCTCCAGTGCCCAATGCCATCCCATCCTCCTGGCCCATGCCCTCTCCTCCAGGAAGCCTTCCCTGACCCTTCTGGCAGCTATGCTCTTCTCCCTCTCTGCTGCGTGCTGGACTCTTAGCGGCCCACCCTGGTGCTACTTCATCCCATTCTCTACTTCACATACCTCACAGCTCTTACAGACCTGCGGGGAGAGGAGCAGGGCCCTACTTGTGCCCTCCAGCACCTCCTACAGACCCTGTGCGCTCTAGATGTTTGTGGAAGGAATTACAAAGGAAAGAAGCCATACTGCTGAGCAGCTGCACACCTGGGGTGGCAGGAGGTCCAGTCAGACCCAGTGGACAAATCTGCGTGTACTGCTTCAGGATGAGCACAGGGAGACAGCCCGGCACAGAGACAGCGCTGTCACCTCCCCTCCAGGTTGATGTGCAAACCCCAGTGAGGAGAAAAGGCAGGAGGGCTGGGAATTTAGCTCAGTGGTTTCACCGCCTGCTGCGCAAGTGCAAGGACCCGCGTTTGATCCCCAGTACCAAAAAAAAAAAGAGAAAAGGGAGGAAAGGAGGGCCTTGGTGCAGGGGTGTGTGGGCGGCTCACCTGGGGGGATCTTGCAGACGGTGGCAGGGTGCCAGCCGTAGCGCTGGTTACAGTTAGGAGACTGGACGAAAATAGCGCTGTCGCTGAGGCACTCCGCGAATACCTCCCCTCCGATGTAGTAGAGCCGCACACCTCTCCCTAGAGATTCAGGTTAGATTGGATCAGGGTACCATCACCCACAGTGGCCCAGATGGCAAAGGAGGCAGAACTGCAGCGGCTGCTCCCAGGGCCTACTCTGCCAGTGTCCTCAGGACCAAGCCTGAGTCCTGGGCAAGGAAATCATGGGTGACACTGGGTTCCTACAGCCAGGGCAAGCAGACGACAGGAAAAAGGACGAGCCAGGGTTTCAGTTACATTTCCAGGCCATGGCCTAGAAAGTAGGGTAGGAACTCCTCCCTCGCCAGTCACTGTGAGATACAGTGGGCGCCTGGTGACAGCTGCCACCCTTTGGGCGCTTCCCATCCCACCCCCAGTTTCATTCCGAAAACCTCCAGGGCTCCTGGGGCCCCAAGGACGGGGCAATGCAGCCCCTCAATGCATTTTTCTAAAGTAGCCCATAAGTTTCTATCATTTATTTTTCCTTCATCTCTTAAATCCACTCCAGATGGACAGAAATTATTTTTAAATTGCCTCTGCAGTTCCAACAGTTAAGCAAACACTCAGTGAGCTCAGCACTCAGCCAGCGGCTGTTCCCTCCCCCTGCTCTGCATGAGGAAGTCTTGTTCCACTCCTAGGGAGGAGGCCAGGGGCTGGAAACAGCTGGACTTGGCGGCCCAGCATCAAGAGGGTAGAAACTGACGTCGTGGGGCTGTGTACCACCTGGTGTCCCCTTCTCTGCCTCCTGTCCCACTGCTGACCCCCCTTAGAGCACCAATTTCTTCTCTGGGTCTTCCAGGACTTGGTGCACAAGGAGGGGCGAGAGCAGGAAGGAGACGCAGGCCAGGGAAGGCCCAGACCTCAGTGTGGCCTCCAACTCCCCTTGTCTCGACTGGAGAATCTTCTCTTCAAACCGACTTCCCTTCCTTATTGCCAGAAAAGAGGTGTTTTGCTATGTGGCTTCCACGTGTTGGGAGACTGTCCCTATCTTTGGGTAGGAATGACCGAGCACCCTGAACTCTGCCTATCTGGCCCCATGTGGGACAACAGAGAATTCTGGGAGCCGGGGTGGGGGAGTCCCCTCCCCAGATCCCAAAGGAGCCAGAGCATAGCAGGAGGCTGCCCCGTTACCAATGTGTCTCCGGGTCAGCTCCACCGCTGCGTTCCTATTCACGTTGGACAGCAGGCCTAGGCAGAAGCGCTCGGAGTTGGAGGGGTCAGTGAAGCCATCTACGGTCATGGACGGCTGTGAGGCATGGAAAGTCTCCCCAACGCGCTGGTTCAGCTCATAGTAGGAGATGGAACACCAGAAGGCTGGCTCGCAGTAGGTGACAGGCTGCAGGTCTGCAGAGACAGGGTCCACTGTCAGAGACCAAGGGACCCCTGGGTGGGAGACCTCCGACACCTCCCAGAGGGTGGGAAGGACTCTCTGCCCCACACCTCTCCTTGCATAAAACTTGCAGGATGCCAGGGTTCTGCAGGAGCGCTTGGCCAGCTCTGCCTCTGGTGAAGAACCAGAGTTCATTTCTGGGGAGCCCGCCGGGACCCTCCCACCTGGCCTGGCACCAGTGCCCCAGGCCAACCCCATGGACAGACCCACTGCACACTCTCTGGGGCGGGCACGCCACCCACACATACAGTCACCTCCTGGCCTCTTTCTGAGGAGCTGAGGGTCTCCTAAGGAGTCATGCTAATCTTTGTCCCCAAAGGGCTTTCGGCACTGGGCTCCCTGGCCGGGGGAAGCTCAGCCAAAACACAGCAGTTCCAGAACCTGCAGAATGAAGAGGCTGCGGCAGCCAGCAGTGCCTAGTGTGTGTGCCAGCTGCACACTATCCTCTGTCTTGCCACCTTTCCCTAGCTGCCAGCTGACAAAACTGCTATCTCGTCAAGGGCTGAAGCAGAGGGGTCCCCAGCTTTCTACTTCCCGTGACTCCTGCTCTCCACTCCAGCCACATGGAACTCTACAGCTGCCCTCTGCCTGCCCCAGGCCCGTGAAGCTGGGGAGTACAGTGTGCCACCTCACCTGCCACCCGCTTCAATTTGCTGGAGAATCGGGGTTCTGCTCAGTCTTCTGTCTCAGTCTCATACCTCCAGCCCAGGTCACTCACTGTGGCTCTTAAGTCGGTGTGGAGCCACCTGGCTGTCTAGGATGCGACTCTGTGTGAGCTGGTGTCCGTGGCCTTCCTGTCCAGTCTGGGCCACCTTACCTCCCTACTTACGCCCTTGCCACGGGGCTCTGAGAGAGGGAGGGAAAGGCCTGCTGAGCCCGAGATATCAGATGCTATGCTGCCCACAGGGGAGTCCTAGGCATCCCCTGCCAACAGAGGTCCCAGATCTTCCTGAGTCTGAACACATGATCACTCTCAAGGGGGAAGAGTGGTGAGGAGAGATGCAGACCTGGGACATCCTACAGGCCACAGCCCGGACATGCCCACCAGGGACTAGGTCAGAGTTAGCTGGGAGGAGGGGGCTCCAGTGACATGGGATGGTTAGCAGCATCCCTGGCCTCTACCCCCAGATGCCAGTGGCATCCGTCTACTTCCCCTCCCACATGGGGCCAACAAAAAATGCCACTAGACAGCACCGGATGTCTTCTAGGGGTAGAGACTGCCCATGGTTGAAAACCGTTGCCTGGTGATGGAACACGCTCTGAGCTTCGGCTTCTCCGTGGCCTTGGACTCAGGCATGGGACCCTCCTTACCCGGATGCTGCCGTGGTGCCCTGAGCTACTGGTGTACAGCACGGGCCGTGCACCAAGCACACAGTATCCTGCGAGCAATTCCACAGCCTCTAGCAGGCAATGCATCCTTGCCACTCTCCTCTCTTCCCAGGGTGGAGCAGGGGAAGGTGCAGCAGAAGGCAGGGGACTGGCTGCTCCAGATGGAGGGAGGCAGGGAGGGGTGACGGGACAGGAGCAGCTGTGGCCTGTGCGATGGCTCCTGAGGTGGGGCTGAGCCACATCAGCCCCTTCCCGCTCTGGCTTCGCTCAATGCTCCCACATTCCAGGGAGATAAGCCATATTCAAAACAATGTGGCCACTAAAATGTGAGCTATGCTGCTTCAGAAACTTTAAAAAAAAAAAAAATTCAAATCCAGGCATTCACAGCAGTCAGGCACCTATCAGGGCTGGGGCTGCCACAGCCCAGGTGCAGACTCTGCTGACCTTGTGTGTGACCTTCGGGACATGACCTTCCTCCCCAGTTTCAGTTTCCTGGTCTGTAAATGACTTGTGTACTGCAAGCCATCTGTGCTTCCTGCATGGCTTGGCTGGAGAGGCAGCTCTAGCTAATCGGGGCGACCCTGGCTCACTCAGCAAGGTGCAGAACAGAAAACAGTCCTCACCCCGAAATCATAAAGCCCTGTCCACAATCCCTAGGGCCTCATCCAAGCACGAGAGCAAGCTGGGCTCCCAGGCAGGCCACCCGCTGTGGAACGGCGCAAGGACCAGGCTGAGGGGCCATGTGGGCTACAAGGAGTCCTGGTCCGAGAGGCCCTCCCACGCAGATGTGAGCCCTTCCAGGCACCCCCGAAGCTCAGGCAGCCTGAGACGTCACTAAGAAGACACCTGTCAGGGGACAGGTGAGGTGAAGCCAGTAGCAAAGTGTGAGGACTGCCATTCCAGGGCGTGCTGCGGGAAGAGCTCCCGTGTTGGAAGCAGGCTGAGCCGGAGCAGTCACTCGCTGCACTCTGTGGACAGTGAAAGGCAGTCCTGCCTCCCCTCACCCTGCCTCCCGCAGCCCTCCAATGCTTCCCCAGAGCACTTCTGCAGAGGGAGCTGCAGACCAAAGTATGGTCGCCATCTCTGGTCTCTTCCACGCAACGCTATTTTTAAAAAACCGTACATGTGCCTTCATTCCTCATCTACAAAAGAAAAAGTCAGGAACCATGAGGTCACTACTACTAAAGAGAGTACTCAGCTCTGAGCTTCCTAGCAGACAAAGTAAAAAGGAAACATAATAGCAACATAGCGCTCTCATGGGTGAGTACAGAATACTTACTAGCACTACAAGAGAAACAAAGCACTAAATCTTAAATGAAATTGCTCGGGGGAGGCAGTAGCCCCTCCACCACACCAATCAAGCAGGCCCTGGTCTCCAGTGTGCCAGCAAATGCAGACGCAGCTTTACATAGCAACCTGAAGGTGTGCCAAAGGCTCCTGTGGGAGGCAACTGTGAGGGTTCGGGGCAGTGGCTTTGCTTCTCCAGATCTGGGCCTCTGCACCTAAGAGTGGCAGACAGTGGCATGAACCAAGGGGTTGCCCGCCGCCACCCCGCTGCTGCCAGCCTGAGTCATGCTAATTGCATCCCAGAACAGAGGTGCTGGAGATGTGGGGACCTCCAGCCCAGGCCCCCGCCCCCAGCTCGGTGTTGGCCAGACTTGCCCAGTGGCATGGGGCACTGCACGCTCAGTGGGGCCCCTGCCAGCCCAGCACATTGGCTGACTTCAGTTACGAGCCCTGTTCCAAGCTGGCGTGGACTTTCTGTTTTGTTTAAGGAAAAGAAAACAGAATAAAACCCAGAAGGCAACACTTGGATTACGGGATGCCTATTAAAAACGTGCAAAAGATTCAAATCCGGTAAAGGAAATGGTGGGGAGGTGAGAGGGAAAAGTGACTTTCTGCTCCATTGCCCTGGCTCCTTCTTGCTCTGTTGCCCCTGCTGTGCCCCTGCCTAGACTGCCCTTCCTCTGTCATCTACAGGGATCCTACCTGTAAGGCCAGGTGTGTGACCATGACACACACCCTCACCCCTCCGTGCACACCCTCATAGCACAGCACTCTGGGCGCCCTCCCTGCAGCTCCTGCCAGTGGTGTCCCCAGCATGCAAGGCAGTAATACCAGCCCATCTGAGGACTCGAGCAACAAACCAAGTTGTGCAGAGAAAGAACCTTTCTAGCCTGCAACCAGCTTAATGCTGCCAAGAACTGTGGGAAAGTTAAGCCTGGGGCTTCACAAAATTTCTGAAGCCTGGAGCCAGAAGTGGTCTTAGAAGACTGCTTTGTGTGACAGCCCCAAGACACCTGGCTCTGGATCAGGCCTGTGACCAGGACCCCCATGCTCTCCCCAGGGCTGGTGGCCTTCCCCCTTCCGGCTGCCCAGACACTGCCATGTCGCCCTCCCGGCATGGAGGCGGGTGCATCCTGCCTGAGGCACTCTGGGAAACCATCACCCCTAAACTCCAGCTCAGCCACTCCCGGGCCACTTGAATGTCTCATGTAAAGCAGGGGACACTTACCCCTGGCAGGCTCCAATGAGTTACCCCTTTTCTCCTCCTCCACCTGCCCCAATCCCCTGCCAGCTCTGTGAGTCACTCAGCAGCATGGTACGTAGTCGCAGGAACCCCACCTGCTCACATCCCCTTCCTGCACGTCTTACACTTTAGTCCTTTTGGTGACAGTGACTTCATCATCATTTCTCTAAAAGGCACACTCAGATATGCTAGGATACTTCTGCCTTCTAGGCACCATGTGCCTGGTCTCATCCTATGGATTAGGTCACAGTGGCCATCCAGAAGTGGCACCTAGGCAGCTGCCTGCTGCCTCCGTGGCCTGGCTTGTTCTGCCCTTTTGCCCCCGCTGCTCCTTACAGACCGTCCTGCAAAGGCTGCTCTTGCGCTCCTCATGCTGGACTCCAGGCCTCCCACTCCTCCTGCTGCAGCTCTGCAGAGCCCACCTGTGGCCACTGTCCTTCAGGGTGTCCCCACCCCCACATCAGCCTCATCGTTGGCCCCCATCCTGAGGGCCCAGGACCCCGGCACTGCCTTTGCCATTCTGGAGTGGGGTCTCCTCTGTACCGGACTCCTCTATTGTCACAACTGCGGATGCACCTTCAGGGGAGTCGCCAAAGTGGGCTCTAGGAGTGCCCGGTAGGGTAAAAGGGGTGACCCAGCAGTGGCCTGTTTGCCAGGGGATGAGGGACAAACAGGCCTCCCCAGGCACTTGGTCACAAACCTCCCTCTCAAAGCCTGCTATGGGAAGGGCTGTCACCATCAGTGGTTTCAATCTCAGCCCCTCAGGCCCTGGCTGCTTCCCCAACTCTGCAGCCAGCTGGGGACACAGCTGAGCTCATCGGCCCACTGCCATCGTCACCTAGATCCTTCCCCGTTCCTGCCTCAGTTGGATGGCTTCACCATGGCCGCAGGTAAAGCTGACCAGAACATTCTGCACACCCAGAACCCCTCTCAAGTGCCCTCCCAGGCCTACTGCCATTTCTCTGTGGGACACTGTGACAGTTAATCTTGACTGTCAGCTGGATTGGCTTGAGAGTGGCCCAGGGGGTTGGATCTGGTGGGACTAGGTGGGTCATGGAGAATGACTTTGGGAACCATATCTGGACCCTCACTGCTTCCTCTCTGCTCTGCTTCCTGGCCACCATGAACTATGCAGCTTCACTCTGCCACGCCCTTCCACCATGATGTTCCTGCTTTGGAGCCAGCTGACCATGGACTGGATCCCCTGAGACTGTGAGGCAAACCTCTCTAAATTGTGGGTGCTGGGTATTGTGCCTCAGCAGCAGGAAAGCTGACCGATAGGCATTCATCCCAACCTCCCTCAGCAGCAGCTGGCAAAGTGTGTGTATTTTTGTCTTTCCTCCAGAAATTTCCCCTAGAATCTATGTTCCACGCAGTGGTCAGAGTAATCATTATGAAGCTGCCATTGGATAACCCCCAACCCACTACCAACTTTCTTCTGTAGGCCACAGGGACATGATGGCACTGGGGCTCTTTTCTCAGCCCCCACGGGCCCCTTCAGTGTCATCTCCCCAGTTCCCTAACATGCCACCAGCCCCCCACCTGCACTGTCCCTCCCAGCACCTCTGGTCTTTAGAGGCAGACAGATGGAGACAGCTGGTCCACCTGGCTCCCGTCTAGGTGCCCGGCTGTGACCGGGACACAGGCTATGATGGAGGATGCCTGAATTGTACAGCCCACTTTTCCATTTACTAGGTGTGTGACTTGGGATGAATGTATCCCCATCTATTCTTTGGCTTCCTACTCTGCAAAATGAAAACAGGAATACTTCCACCTCAGAGTTGTTCTGAAGACTCGCACTCAGGAAGTCTCTGAGCAGAACCAAACAGCAAGTCCTCAGGAAGCATCTGCCATGATCCTCAGCCCCTGCCAGCTCGTGAGAGCTCCCAGTGGGTTCTGAATGGTGAAGGGTTGGGGCGGGGGGGCTCATTCAACAGAGAGGAAGCAAATGCCTCACTAGAGTCCTGGCCCGGACTCGTAGGCTGACTTGTCTCAATTCAGACTTCCCAGCAGAGTGAGACCTGGACCAGCTCAGGGATGTCCCTGCCCTCGTGAGAAATAACCTCAGAATCCTCACAGACAAGCAGCAGGGAGGGGGACTTGTGGCATAAGTCCAAGCTCAAGACACCCCATTACCCTGAACCCCAAGATCTAGACAGTGAGTCCTGGCCAGGGACCAGCTGGGACAACTCGCAGGCTGAGCCACCAAGTCAGGAAACATCTGCCCAAAGTCTGTTAACTAAACCTGCTACCTTGGCCTCAGGAGGGAAAACAGCTCAAAAAACAGATCCAACACAGCCCACTCAGAGGCTGGAATCCAGTCTAAGTTCACAATCCCAGCCTTTAATGTCTCAGGTGTTACACAGCTTCTAGCCCTCAGTTTGTTTCTAGTAACAAAGCTTCAGTGCTTCTGTATCAGAAACACGACCTGGGCCGGGGATTTAGCTCAGTGGTTTCGCTGCCTGCTGCGCAAGCACAAGGACCCAAGTTGGATCCCCAGTACCAAAAAAAAAAAAGAAACACAACCTTCCCTCTGCAGAGCCCCACGCTCGCAGTGAGACTGTCCGTGCAGCAAGGTCACAGCAGTTCTCCGAGGTTGCCTTTTCCTCTGTGCCCCCCCACCCCCCAGGGAGCCTGATTTCAGGGGTTTTCCAGTATCTCCAGGCAATGAGTTTTACCTGGCACTGTCTACCCAGGTCTCAAAACCAGGGGTCACAAAGCCACTGAGAGCCACCATACCTGGGTACCACTTTTCCTGAGCCACTATGTCAGCTCCAGCAACAAAGCTCCAAACCAAACTAAACTGGTATTTTCTTTAAAATTCCCCTCAATAAAGATGACACAGACATTTCACACATTTTGGGACCCTCAGCGGGGCCCATATGGGAACCACAAGGACTTGGCAAAGCTTGTCCCATGCTGAGAACTGAAGGACCTCCCAGATGGGTGGAGCCACTCTCAAAACCCTGACCCAGAGACTGACAAGCACAAGGTGCGGTGGAAATGAGGGGCCAGCTGCACCCAAACATCATGGATAACTCAAGATGAGCAGGGCATTAATATGGAAACATAATGAAATAATGCAAGGAGAAAAAAAATGGAAAAAGGAGGTAACAGGATGGTCCCACCAGTAAAACAAAGACTGGTACGGGTGGGATTAGAGGCACCGTGGTATTTCCCCAACTCTTTCTGTGTTGCTGCCTTAATAAGTTAAATTATCCTAAGATGAGATACTCAGACAAAACCCCAGTAAGTGTGTCGACCCCACCTGTGAAAGTCAGACTGGAGCCCACAGCTGCCCGCAGCTCTGCACCAAACCACACACATGCGCTTGGCTGACCATGAACCCGGGCTCCAGGACCAGAGGTCTGGGGGCTTCTCGTGCACTCACGCCTGACACCGCCCAGGGGAAATACTAACCTGGCACACAGCCACCTCTCCTGTCCCCACGGTGAGCAGGGCGGTGGGCAGCCTCACCTTCAGGGGCCCCTTTCCCACCTGCCGCCGGCTGGAGGGGTTCCAGGCCTGCGACAAAGATACTCACCCAAGTTATTGTGTGCCGGGGACATCGGATTTGGGGAGAGGTTCGGAGAACCTGCAAGGTGAGACACAGCAGTGAAGCTTCAAGACGGGGTGGCTCACCACGGCAGGACGGAGCCTAGGACTGAGCCCCCAAGTTGTAGAAGAAGGCCTGACCTCAGGCCCTGGCCCCCGCTCTCCCTCCCTGCACCCCAGCTTCTCTATGTGTGAAATGGATGAACCAAGACGATGAGCTCTGAGGTCCCCCATGTCCTGATGGTTTAAGATCCTGACCAAGGCTGCAACTCAGGGCTCCTGGGTGCTCACTGAGGACAGGTGGCGTCTTTTGCTCAGCTTACACCACCTGTCCTGGTAGCTGCACCCCAGGAAAATGAGTGGAGCAGGGAAGGGCCTCTCCCTGGCTGTACACAGCCCAGGGCAGTGGAAGGCTGACCTCCTACGTGGCACCTGTCACCCCTGCCCTCCACCCATGGGACGCCACTTCGGCTCAGGGACCTTGAAGGACCAACTCAGGCAACTCGAACCCACTGCACAAACCCTCGATTCAGCAACCAGACCGATGCTTTGTGTGGGACAGGATGGTGCATGTGAGAAAGTCAATTCTATCTCATTCGTACTCTATGATCTCACCACCAGAAAAACAGAAAAAAACCACACAACATCAGTCTTCAAAGAAAGCAGTGGCTGCCTTTCCACCCCTGAAATCTGCTGTCCTTGAAGCCAGGCCTGCACCTAAGCCCTAGGCAGCTGTAACCCTGAAGACAAAGGATGAGCCCCAGGGTGGGTTCTTCTCCACCATGTCCCCTAACCCACTGGGGATGAGGCCCAGCCACTGACAGCCAAAGACCTTCGACTTTTCTGAGCCTGAATTTTTCCCTTGGTAAAAAACAGGAGTAAGATCATCTACTCTGAGCTGTACAGATTAATCCAGGACACACATATAAAACTGTTTAGACCATGCCTGTGTGTAGTAAGCACTCAAAGTTTCGTTTGCTACTTGGTAATGGTGCCCATCACAAAGGCCTGGGAAGGCTGTGTGACCACCTCGCTGGTCTGAAAGGGTACATGTGCCTGTGAGGGGAGACACAGGGGTGAGCAAGGCGAAGTCTGGCCTGAGACACATCCACACCGTGCCTGACAGGAGCCTGAGGAGGAACAGAATAAATGGGAGATCGTTGCCCATCCCTTTGAGGGCTGGCTGGGAGCCACACCCCCAGTGTCTCCTTGAGATGGATCACTGAGTGCACAACAGGGGCCTGAGACAGGGCAGAAGGAAGGGAAGGGACAGTGACAAGCAGACAGAAAGGAGGGAGGGGAAGGAGAAGCAACCAGAGTAGAGAGGGTGACAGAACCCCTCTCTGGTCTGTGTTTCTAGTAGTCACCATTCCGCAGATACAGAGGAGGTGGCCGGGAGCGGGAGAACGGGCAAGAGAAATCCTGCAGCTGGAGAGACGCTGGTTAGCTGGCCCTCCCCTGTGCCACCAGTTAACAGCTGCAAGCCTGCAGCAGCCACTTGGTAAGGGACACAGGAAGGTCCTTGGTGCACTGCAGCTGCATCCACACTGCCAGCTGCTGTGGGGAGCAGTTTCAGGGGATGTGCTCAACCCAAAAGGGCAGCTGCACCCACATAAGATTTCAGCGACTACGGCTGCATCGTGCATGTGAGCCTCCTTCCTTCTTTCAGGAATTGCAGTCTGTTCAGCTGCACACGGGCCAGGTGTGTAGGAGGCATCCCCGCTGTCGCTGTCTCCATCACCAGGATGGAGCGGCCACTCGGCTCCCTCCTCCTCGCCCAGCCACACACAACACAGCACACTCATGTGGCAGCTGAGGCTCCGTTCAAGAAGCTGCTGGTGTGGAGCCAATTTGGTCCCATAACAAATGACATGGGAAACATCTGGAGCTGGGGCGGGGAGATCCAGGCCAGATCCCTCATGTAGAGGCACACTGATCACATTTGGCCCCATACAAAGAGAGCTGCTTCCTGGCCATCCACCGGCCGCTGGAAAAGACCTGGTCTCCCCACAAGCTCTCCGAGATTTTCACCTGAAGCGCTTCAGGACCCTGGGCCCACCCTCCACCCTCTGCCACCAGACCCACACCAGCTTCAGGCCTGCGCTGGCTCCCCATGAACCCAGGAGAGTGTGTGTCCACCCTCACTGAGCAGCCTGGCCTGGACATCCCTGGGCTCCGGCCACACCAGGCTCTCCTGCCCAGGCCCCCATGACTGCCCGGCACACCCTCTGCCCACCCCACGGTGTCTTCACGGTGAGGCAGCACGGTGACTGCTAACTGTCTGGGACCAGCACAGGGTGGTCACTGTGAACCCTGGAGAGACTGGATGAGGTGGGAGCACATGAGAGGAAGGGACAGAGGGGAGGGGCCGGCCACCCCGCAAGGACAGCGAGCACGCCACGCCTGCCGGACCTGCATCCATGCTGTGGTTCATCTGATGATCACTGGTTTCTCCATCTTCGCTCAGGTAGCCCGGGGGTGGGGTCTCTGGGAAGCAGAAAACAGGTGGCCTGTGAGAAGGCCTGTGTGGCGCAGCCCTGGGACACCTTTTGCAACTGTGGCACACTCAGTATGGGGCGCTAGAAGGTCCCTGGGCCTTGGGCCTGCCCACCTGAGATCCCCCAGGGCCCCGGCTGGTTCAACACGGCCATTCTGACTTCCAAGTCTGAAGCAGCTGTTCTGAGAGGCAGGGGAGCTGCTGCAGGCTGACTTCCCCTGCTGCAGGAAACTCTGGACTCTGCCTCACCCATCTCTGTCCTCCCAAGGGCCGTGGCCTCAAGCCCATCCCTCAGCCCTGCCTCTTCTCCTGCACAGACCCGCAGCAATTTGTCATTTGTGGTCTCTAGGGAGTGTGCTTGGCGCCACAGTGAGGGTGCAATTCGCTGATGGCAGAGGCTGTGACTGGAACCTCTGCCCCACCCATCCTGATACGCGCTCCAAGGCCAGCGTTTCAATGGGGAGTGACAACTAACCCCAACAGCCACCTGCAAGGGACTGGGTAGCCGGGCAGGGCACTCTCGAAAGCTCTGCCCAAGCACACAGGTCCCAAGCACATGGGCCCACAGCCGCCCCAGCCTGCAAACTAAGCCAGAGCGAAAGCCACGTCAAATTAGAAGGCTCTGAAAGAAGCGCAGCTGGATCACTGTCCTTGCTGCCTTTGTGTGTGTGTGTGTGTGTGTGTGTGTCTCGCCAGAGGGTGGCCGACCACCTCCTCAGGACACCAGAGTGCAGTGATTCACACTCTATTTGCATGTAAATAAGGGGCTTCCACAAACATTTGCAATCTTCCGTAGGGCGCCAGCTTCTCCCCCGCAGAGTGAAAACTCAGAGTGACCTCAACTCCCACCCAGGCTGTCATCCCTGCCTGGGTCCGAGCCCCAGGGTACTGGCAGACCCCAGCCTGAACACCAGTCCTCCTGCCATGAGGGTGAGCCGAGAGCAAGACAGTGTTGCTATTTCCACTTCCAAAAGAAATGACTGCACTGGGACGGCGCTGGGGCCGAGCAGAAGGGTCACACTGCTCCTCCGTGCCAAGCAAAGCATCATTAGCCAGTGGGGAGCCCAGGCCACGGGTCCTTTCCCAACGGGCCGAGGGGCTGGGCTAGTGCTGTGCACACAGTGGCGAGGGGAACAGTGAGGGAGACAGGGACAACGTACCTGGAATATTGCTCTGGGGCTCGATGCCGGCGGGGAAGTTGGTGTTCTCGGGGATGGAATGGGTGTAGTCCTCCAGCGGGGGGAACTCGGCTGGGATCTCTGTGTGGCGCGGCACCAGCACAGGAGGTAGAACTGTCCAGGCAGAGAAGGCAGAGGTGGCTCAGCACCGAGGCCAGGCCAGCACTGGGCTCCTGAGCCCCACAGCGGCGCAGACCCTCCCGGGAGGCGTACCTGGCGTCTCCACCCTCTGGTAGTGGTAGGGGTTCACGCACACCTCGTCCTTCTTCATGTTGAAGGCGAACTCACACAGCTCCATGGCCCGCAGCTCGTGGTGGCTGTGCAGGTCCGGCCATCGCCACAGGCGGCAGTAGATGACATGGGGGAGCCCCTTCCGATGGGACACCTGCAGGCGACCATCCAGGGACCTGCCAGGATAGGGAGGGCAGACAGAGAAAGCAGAGTGGGTTTGGCTGCTGGAAGCTCCCAACAGGTCTGCTGGCTGGCATGGGGCAAGCTGGGCCCTTCCACTTCGCTCCCAGCTGCAAAGGCCCTACGCCAAGCTGAAAAGGACCCCAGAAGAAGCAAGCAGACCCACTACAGAAGGCTGAGGACCCCACAGCTCCCGGAGCAGGCCAGCACCATCCAGGCCAAGCAGCACATGGCAGCGTGGGAAAGGGACACACAAGTCGTGATCCAGGAAAGTACATGCACGGCTCATCCGGCTTTGCTTGGGTAGAGGGGACCAGAGGATCTAGAGGACAGCCAGCTCTCTGGGCAGGGCTTTGGGGATGAGAAGAGATTCTGCCTTTTTTCTAAAAGCGACTGGTAATGAAGCCTCTGAGATGCTTCAGCGCTGCCCAAGTGTGAGAGTTAGGCCTCGAGATGATTCTGGCTGCGTGGGCAGGGTGGAGAGTGGTGAGTGGGGTGCTCAGGAACTAGGGACCCTAAGTGCCCCATCCAGGACCCGCCACAGTTTTCCTAATTGCTGAGCAGAGCTGGCAAGGAGCTATTTGCAAGCTGTCCCTCTGTGTCCCCTTAGGACCAAGCATAACCGTGGGCCTGGGGAACAGGATTCATGGGCCCTCTGTGGGGGGGGGGGCTCCCAGATGCACCCAGAAGCACCAACTAAGAAGAGACAGAGGGAGCCAATCGGCAGCCCCAAGCCTCTGGTCTGGCATGGGGAGGGCAGGAAGGTCAGCGCTGGGCTTGGTCACAGGGACAGACCCAGAGCTGCTGACTGAGGGCATCTGGAAAGATGTAATTACCTCCCTCCCATGGGGGCTGGGACCAAGGAACCCCTACAGCTGAAAACAGTAATTACCAGGCAGAGAAAGAGAGAACAGATGGGGTCTAGTCCCCAAGGTACGAGAGAAAGCCTGGCAGATGAGTCCCAAGACCTGGGGTCAAGAGGTGGTTCGCTTCTCCTCGCTGCAAGAGCCTGGGCAAGACATGGGGAATCCAGAACCCTCCACTGCCTTGTCTAGAAATGAGGTGCATTCTGACCCTCCCCTGACTTCACAAAGTCTGGTGTCCATCTGGAAGGTCTTTGCAAAGTACCAACCATTGAGCATTACTGCCTACTCCGTCACTGCAGCTGCCCGGCCCAGACAGGGCACTGAGCTGTGGCTGAGTGGGGAGAAAGGGAGAGTGGGAAGTGGTGAGCTGGACAGAGAGTTACATGGCTGCTGTCACCCCTGCGAAGTCACCGGGTGCCCACAGTTTAAGGAAGTGGCCACATTTCCTCATCGGGGTTTGACAAAAGCCCCAGCCAGAGGCCAGTAGGTCAAGGTCGCTGAACCTCACAGAGGTAGCCTTTCAGTGATGTGCCAGGAAATCAAGTAGCCACACACAAGAAAAATGAACTTCAACTTACATCTTATACCTAGCCAAAAAACAATCAACCAGGGTGCATCACACGGTAAAGCTTAACATGGCAAAACTTCTAAGACTCTGGAGAAAATCTTGCTGACTTCAGGCTCAGATGTCCCAGATACCATACGAAAACCACAATCCAGAAAAAGGAAGTTGAGATACTGGTCATCAAAATCTAAGCTCCTGATCTTTGCAAGACATTGTCAAAAGAACGAAAAGGCAACAACCTGGGAGATGAGATTTATAAAGCATATATGTGATAAAAGACCTGGTTTTAGGGTAAGGAACTCCACAAATTCAATACTAAGAACCCAATTTTAAAATAACAGGTAATGATGTGAACAGATGCTACACTAAAAATGTAAAGATAGCAAATATACACATGAACGAACGATATCAGTTTTCAGAGAAGGACAAATTAAAGCTATAGTGAAATTCCACACACAATCAGGAAAACAGCTAAAACCATCAGGCAAGGCTGTGGAGTGCCTGGGACTCTCATCCACTGCTGATGGGAATGTAAAATGGTCCAATTACTGTACTTTGGAAAACAGTTCGGCAGTTTCTTAGAATGGGTATTACGAAGAAATCAAATAACGGGCCAAGGATTTAGCTCAGTGGTTTCGCCGCCTGCTGCACCAAGCTCAAGGACCCGAGTTCAATCCCCGGTACCAAAAGAAAAAAAAAAGAAATCAAATAACAAATGCTAGCGAGGCTGTGAGGGTTAAAAAGAACCCTTTGGCATTGGTGGGAATGTAAACTAGTACAACCACCGTGGAAATCAGTATGGAAAGTCCTCAACAAAACTAAAAACCAGAAATCCCATTTGACCCAGCTATTCCCCTTCTAGGTTTCTTCCTCAAAGATTTAATGACATCATATTACAGTGATCCACGCATACCCATGTTTATAGCAGCACAATTCATATAGCTAAATCTTGGAAGCATCCTCTATGTTCATCAACAGATGAATAAAGAAAATGTGATATTTATACACAATGGAGTACTACTCTGTCATAAAGAAAAACAGATCATTTGTAGGAAAATGGGTGCACCTCAATACTATAAGGTTAAGTGAAATAAATCAGACGCACAAGATTAAATATCACATGGTTTCTCTTATATGAGAAACCCAAATTATAAATAAAAAGCAAAATAAGAGATAATAGGAATTGAGGAGGTAGATCTTTCTCAAATGAGAAGGGGGTCAAGAGATAGAGGGAGGGGAGGAAAAGGATGTGTTATCTACATGTACCAACTCCCCAAAAGGGACATAAACATTATACACTACAAACACGTACTAATACAAAAAGTTCAAAACAACCCAGTACACTGTCCACCCATTCCACTTCTGAGCATTTACCAGCAGAAATGAAAGCGTGCATCCAGATACTTGTGCATGAACAGATAAAACACGGTGGCAAATCCATACCAAGGAACACCACCCAACAAACTGGAAGAATGGGCTAATGATACATGCAAAGTTGGGACTGGATCCAAAAATAATTACACCTAGTGAAAGATGCCAGACCCAATCCTGTTTGTGAAATTATGGAGTAATGTAAAGTAAAAAATGCAAACGAATCCATAGTGACAGAAAGCAGATGCGCAGTTTCAGGGGGGGACTGCGGGGTGGGGGGGCAGGAATGAGCAAGGGCATGAGGAGACTTTTGAGGGGCAAAGGTTATGTTTGTTGTCTTGACTATAGTGGTGGTTTTAAAGGTATAGACACATGTCAAAATTTATCAAATTATACACTTTAAATATGTGTAGCTTATTTGCAAACCGTATCACAATAAAAAAAAAAGTTTAAAAAAGAGGCAAGGGCTTTGGACTTGGATAAACCTGGATGTAAATCCTGACTCTGCTCGCTATGTGAACTTGAGCGAGTCACTTCCGGTCTTTCATTTTTTCATCAGAAACAGCAGCCCCTTCACTGGCCCGCTGGGAGGACTAAGTGATGCTCCACGAGGAAAGCCCTCAGCACATAGCAACGACACCATAAACAGCAGGAATGTACTGTCGTTACCTCTGCATACCATGACTGTCACATGGGCATGACAGGGTCTGGCAGAGGAAAGCCCGAAGAAGGTGCTCAGATACACCTGTCCCTCTTCTGCTTTGGTGATCTGAGGCCACCAATGGGAGGGTCACAATGAGGCCACGGGTCTGCTCTGAATTTTCACAAGGCTTCTCTGCCCCTGCTCTCACATCCCCCCTGTCCCTACAGCTCATCAGGCAAGTCCCCTAATGGTGCCACTTCACTGTGTCCCCGGACATCCAAGAGGCATGGCCCAGTCCTAGGGTCACACAGGATCCTGATGACAGGGAGATGGATGGGCACACGCTGTCTGGCTCTCCAGCTGACAAGCACATGACCACCAGGCTGACTTGGCTGGCTTCTCTAGAAGTCATCTAGTCCGTGCCATAAAATTCCCAAACTCAAGACAAGAAAGGCATCTCATTCATTACTTCTTCTGCATCAGCGACTACTCCTGGCTCAGATTCCGGGCTGCCCAGGGCCCAGTGCCCTGGTGCTGTTCCTTTTTCCCTTTCTGTCCCATTTAAAACACGCACTGATGCTTGTTAAATAGTAATAGTGAGCTGGGAGTCTCTGCTGCTGGGTTTAATAGAGCTCTGTTTTAGGAACACGCCCTCCCAAGCCTTACAGGGCACCGGGCCCACTAAGTAAATCCAACAAAATAGGTCTTAATTCTGAGCTGATGTCCCCATAAATGTGCTTAGTGCCAGAAAAAGGGTCTGTCTCCCACCTACTCTTCCCTCTGCATCAGTCTCCTCCCAGCCCCAGAGCAGCTGCCATTGCACAGAGCAGAGTCCCAGGAAGCAACCTGCTAGTACATGGCTGAGATCGCTGCCCACACCCAGTGACTTCCCGAGACCCCCAAACAACTTTCTCCAGCAACTCTCTCCAGCTCCTTTGACAGAAGGTTTTAATCTTTAAATACATCCCTCACTAGCCAAATAATTTCCTGTGGGAGGAAATTAGGTTTCCTCCCATTGGCTCCAAGTAGGACCTGTAAAGTGTCCCAAAATGGTGGGGGGAGCCACAGCCTGGGACACAACATGGCCATGCCAGAGTTCAACATGAAGGTGGAGCCCAACAGGGTGCTCCCCAGGGTGACAGGGCATGGCTGGGGCCCCTCAGCCAAAAGCCTCTCCTGTCGTTGGTACCAGTGATCAGCCACCCACATCGATCAGGGGGAGCACGGGGATGGAGGTACAAGTTCCAGAACACATCCGATGTACTCAGCATGCACTCTGGCCTGGGTGCAATGTCATGACACAAAAGCAGGAACTGGAGCATACTCAGAGAACTGAGCATCACTGTGTGTTTCTCCCTGCTATCCTGCTCCTCTGCCAGCACCACAGGATCCCCAGGCAGCTGCTGCCCTTGGCCCATGCAAGGATCTGAGCCCAGTGAGACACAGGAGCAAGAGCAAGGATGAACAATCTCTAGCTGGAGGTGAGTCTTTGGAGTGTTTGTTACACAACACTAGCTGACTAATACAGACTCCACTAAACTTGCCACAATC